GCACCTTATGGAGATTATAAAGATTTTTTATTTTATTGGAGCAAATTGAGCCATACCTTACTTTTTTTTTTTGCTTTTTTTCTGGAATAACTGTGGGTCTATGATTTTGTGTAGGTTTTTAATTAATTTTTTTTTCTATTGGATGGACTTGAGTGACATATATATTTTTTCAGCTTGATTAACTATGTATCGATAGGCAATTCCAGAAGTGTATGTAAGGCACTGTAGGAGCTGCCTGTCTCTTACCACAAATGACACGATGGAATCTCATACTAAACTACAGCTTTGGCAGCTCTTGCTGCAGTTATTAAGTTTACTAGAACAACATCTCCTGTCTTTGAGTAACAAAGATACCCAGCATACTTATATCAAATTCAAGTCTATGAACAGTGTGATATGATATGCAAATTATAGGGGTTAAGCCAACAATATATCTACAATGGTGTCATTGGAGCGGTGCATGGAAAATTAATTATTTTATGCAGGGTGAATGAGCTTGCATTATTGTTGGATTTATTGCAAATGAACAATATAATTATATAATTACTGTGACAAAGAAAGATTGCAAGCTCCATTATTTTGTTTCCTTGGTGCTTTCTAAACAATACAATTAAAGCTTGGCATACATACGCATATATGCTTAATCTGGCAATTCAATTAAAAAATGCAATGCAAGCCAGGGGTACCTGTCTACGTTATTTATTTACAACAGTTGCCTAGGGCTCCCATACATGTTCATTTGTCTCTATGTTTTCATGAAAATGTTTTTCAATAGAGGTTCGCAATGCTCAATCAATCAACATTTACTAGCCTCCTGGATATGGTATATTTAAATGAAGAAGAAATTATTTAAACAAAGTTTATGCTTTCCAAATCAGTGTGTTTGACATGTTCAGAATATCTAATCTACCCTGGACACACAGAATTCTATTTTCTATTTTCTCTAAATGCATATAAATGTATCACTGTCAGTGTGAATGAGGCCAAAAGATACAAATGCTTTTGATCAGGAAAATTAGCTTTTAGCTATAATAAAATTGATATTGATAATGATAATATTAATAAATAATGTCCTCTGTAATCTGAGAAAAGCTGATAGAAAAAAAAAGATAGATAAAAAAAAGATAGATAAAAGAAAGGCTGCTTGAAAGGAAGAACTGATTGTTGATTATAACACTGCACTTCTGACAAAATGTAGCACTGATTTTTTTTTTTCGGAACCCTGATTACTACCGAATAGTAAAAAAGGCATATTAATTTGTAATGAGAATTTCCAGCTGTTTTATATTATTCAACATTCAACCATAGGCAGTTATGTGTACCTAAATTCAGTGGTCCCTTCCAAAATCATTGTGAAGTTCATAGAAGCATCTAGTTGCAGTAAAGACTACACAAAATAGCTGTTTTTATACTATGTCACATGTACATGCAAGACTGCCATATTTTTTCTACTCCAAACGCATACATTAATAGATGAAACCATTAGTGGTTCCTATGACAAATTTAGATCTAGGATGGAGTTTTGTGATACAATTTCTGATTTACAGGAAAGGTTCATAAAAGAAAAATAGACTTATGATAACATTATATTACTCACCAGGGGCGGACTGACAACTCATGGGGCCCCCGGGCAATAGGGGATCATGAGGCCCCTGTGTCCTTGCTCAAACTAAATAAAGCCTATGGAAAAAGGTACCAGGGGCATCTCATGGGGCCCCTTACTGACCCCAGGCCCTTGGGCAGTGCCCGAGTTTCCAAATGGTCAGTCCGTCCCTGTTACCCACAAACGTCTTGAAGCAGTACAACAAAGTCCTACACAACAAAATAAAACATCAAAGACTTGAGTACAAACCACAACAACCAGAGGTGAGGTAAGGAGTGATTTTGTGCCTCTGAAGGACTTGGCATGATAAAAAGAGAATTTTGAGCATTGGAGAATCTAATAACTGAATAAGCAATTATTTCCTTTGCGTACCAGAAGAGGAAACATACACCTCATTGCACATGAGCCACATCCCAAAGTGGTGAATCAGGCAGTTATCACTCTATGCTGGTGCTTACAGACTAGCTGTTTTTTTCATGGTGCCTGTGCCTCCTAGACATAGCAATAGTCCTAAGCAAAATGAAATCTCACATAATATAGTTCAAAGAAGATAGTATTGCTTTTAGATATGAGTTCAATATACAAGAAGTTGCAAGGACAATGGATTTCTATCAGGATCAACATGTATTTTTCTGTACTTATAGAAAATGTACTTAGCCTGAGAAAAAGAATACTACTGCAGCCACCACATTTTAAGACTGGTAAACTGACTGCAATAGGTTACATTTTTGTTCTTGGGGTTATATGTACTTTATTTGCTTTGAGGTTTAAAAAGAAAAATGTAACCTATACATAGTTACTTTTTGCCATGCAGTCACATATTAACTAACATTTTAAACATCTAGAGTTTATATAAAATGGCTTTAGCAGATGCAGATTCAATCTCTGCATTTTCTCACGTAGTGATTTTTTTTTCTCTTTATTATTTACTACTAGTTCCTTTTTTTTCTCAATAGCACACCTTGCAATGCAAGAAGGTTTCTAACTTGTTAAAATGCAACTGTGTCCAAATTATCAACATTAAACTGTTTACATATTCTTAAAAGCCCAGGCTCCCTAACTTATCTATGTGTCTTTAACCACACACCCTCCAGAGAATTTACCCCCCTTCCTGACCGTCCAGGACATCTCAAGCTACTAATAGCAGCGCACCCCCTACCCGGGAATGCAAACTACGTATATATACATGATTTAATGCAGCCCTGCCGCCCTGTAGCAGTATTTATACTATGGGGCAATAGGAAAGTGGTTAAAGTGAAGTTATTCATTCCCAATGATCCTCACAAATGGCAACTAAGACTCAAGTTTAACTGAGTTTGTATCCATTTTTAACAGTTTAGAACAGGTTTCACACTACCACCTGTTCCGGGTCAGTAGGGGGAGTGTAAATAGAACCCTGCTGAATCGGATCAGAACAGGACAGATGTCATTTGTGGCATCTGGGTCTGTTCCAATCTTTCCTCCATGTGATGGAGCAGATACGTTCGTCCGATTCATCCTGCAACAAATTGAAGGCAAATTGGAGGCAAACCTTTTTTTTTTTTTTTTTGCTGACCTAATATTTTGTGATAGAATATAAACATACCTGCCACCATATAGAGACACATTGCACTCCATCTACATTGGTATAGAAAACATACAGATGAAACATTTGTCATAAAGGGGCCAAATACCTGCTGGTTGTTTGAACTAGAGGTCTAGTGGTCTGCCAAGGTTCTGTTTTCATAAAAAAAAATGCAGATTTCACTGCCCGTGTTGTGGACTTCAATTTCTCCACAATAGACAGATAGACAAATGAATAAGAGCTTATTTTAAAGTGCTTGTACTGCTTGTTCAGAATATGTAAGTACTGACATATTCTATGCATTCTGTTTTTATTACAAGAGAGCTATGCTAATGGTGCCCTGCAACTTTTATCCAACGCTGGGTACCAACTGATTGAGCTGGATTTTTCCTGGGGATCATTATCATTCTATATAGATAAGGACACCACCAGTGTTTTTGTTTGTAAGGATGCACACATGCCTTATAAAAGGATCTTAAAGGAATATCAGTCTGATTTTCCAACACCAAGCAATGTTTATGTACCCCATTAGGTGCACTATTAATAGAATGTATTGACCACATCAAATTTCTCTACCTGCATACCTGTCACTGGTTAGTAAATGGCTATCTGAACTGGCAAAATATGTTGGAATGTGGTAAAATGCCTGAATTATGAATTAGGGAAGAATTTTAGTCTGTCCCACAACAACCAGGTCAACTCTTTCCTTAAATATGTTTATCAATATAGCACACAGTATTTAACTTTATTTCAAAATTTTAATAAACACCTGTGTGCCATAACACTGACTTAGAACAGATTTATCCTTGGGAATTAGTTTGGTATGAGTGTTTGAACCTATTTAATACTGATTTATAAACACTAGAGCAAAGGAAAAACAGAGCTGCTGAGTTAAACAGAGTTATAAACTTTTACTCTAAATAACAGCAACCATTGAATCCACTTTGTTGATATATACAGTAACTTCACTTCAGATTAATAAGTTTGCCCCAGTGATTGCCCACTGCAGTCCTTGGGGGCTACATCCAAAATGTTATCTGAGACACTATAGAGATCTGAGAAATAGGCAACTTAATTAAAATGGCAATACGCGCTTTTGCTATTAACCAAAGTTTAATAAATGGATGGAAATGTTAAAACGTGCCTTAAATCAACAGTAAATAAGGCCATCCACATTAATGCTAAGAGTTCTACTAGATATATGTTGGATCTATCATTGATTGTTAAGGAGTTATGGTATGCTGGCCTTGTAAATCTTCCAAAATGCTGCCTCAGGATATAAAAATCTCTGCTCACTAAAAGGACGCTAGCCATTTCTCCAATTGCACTCCAGGACCTATGCATCTTTGAGGCTAGGGTCAGGATATCTAGATGAGTAATTATCACTTATATAACTCAAGTATGAGCCACAGCTTGATAAAAAGGTAAAAATAAGTTCTTTATATCTTTATATCACTCTATGTATGTTGCATCTGTCAGATTAGATTCATCATCCTCAATTAGGGTTTCTCCAGAGGTTGCTGGTTCCTTGATCTGTGATTGATTGACCTGATGATTCTTGGTCCAATGCCACTTGGTAGAGCCAGCAGCATGACAACAATGATCGTTTTACCTGCCTGTATGGGTGGCATTATGATCATCACTGTAAAGGGGCATTCTTCCTACTGACCATCAATGTAAGGGGCATTATTCCTACTGACCCTCGATGTAAGGGGCATTCTTTCTGCTGACCATCAATGTAAGGGGCATTCTTCCCACTGACCCCTGATGTAAGGGGCATTCTTACCACTGACCCCCCGATGTAAGGGACATTTTTCCCACTGACCCCTGATGTAAGGGGCAGTCTTCCCACTGACCCCCGATGTAAGGGGCATTCTTCCCACTGACCCCCGATGTAAGAGGCATTCTTCTCACTGACCTCCGATGTAAGGGGCATTTTTCCCACTGACCCCCGATGTAAGGGGCATTCTTCCCACTGACCCCCAATGTAAGGGGCATTTTTCCCACTGACCCCTGATGTAAGGGGCAGTCTTCCCACTGACCCCCGATGTAAGGGGCATTCTTCCCACTGACCCCCTGATGTAAGGGGCATTCTTCCCACTGACCCCCAATGTAAGGGGCATTTTTCCCACTGACCCCTGATGTAAGGGGCAGTCTTCCCACTGACCCCCGATGTAAGGGGCATTCTTCCCACTGACCCCCTGATGTAAGGGGCATTCTTCCCACTGACCCCTGATGTAAGGGGCATTCTTCCCACTGACCCCTGATGTAAGGGGCATTCTTCCCACTGACCCCCGATGTAAGGGGCATTCTTCCCACTGACCCCCGATGTAAGGGGCATTCTTCCCACTGACCGTCAATGAAGTCATTTCAGCAGTGGTTCTCTGAGAGCTGAAAATGATTTTAGGCTGGATTTGAAGCACAAAAATATTTAAACGTATTGCCAGCACAGAGCACTATAAACATTACACACTCATATGAACATTGAGTGATTTTTCAATATTGTTTTCCTAATAGCAACCATAGCACACCTGCTAGAATGTATACAATCGCTTTCTCTCTAATGAAAAATTGAGTATTTCATGCTGCACCACATTTTGCATTCTACAGCCCATTTGAAGACATCTCAAGCAGATAAAGTAGCTGCAACAGAACCAGCAGTCAGATAGATGTAGTCTCTCTTAATTGGAATGATATGATGCTCATCCATCCTGTATCTGTTACCAAGGCACCAGCATCCATACCACACATTAATATGGAGATACCTCCCCTCCCCCCACATTAGGTCAGCTTTGGTTTTGATCTAACCCAAGAGACATGCATTCTGCTGCTAGCTACAAGCAATATACTGTATAGGAATATCAAAATATAATTTCTGCGCTGGATGTGAACCCAGCTCCACGAAAACTGACCCCTCTGTTGAACTGCCTGACAATTTTATGATAGCAAATACGCATATTTAAAAATAATGCTGGATGCAACACATAGGCTTTGGAAATGGCAATCACTGACCTAAAACCACTGCCACCACGGTGACGATGAGCAGCCAGTTGTTCTTGAGTATCCTCTTGCAGTCACAGCCTTTCTTCATCTTCTTCCCCATGTTGCAGTACTCCGTCTATGGGGAATGTGTGCAGGAGGGATGGATAGAGGAGATCTGGATGGAGACAATGCAGAGAGAGGTGTGAGAATGTCAGTATGTCACACTGCAGGCATCTGCTCTAGCAGAGAGGTGTGAGAATGTCAGTATGTCACACTGCAGGCATCTGCTCCAGCATGAGAGAGATCAGTGCAGCCTCCTTCCTTTCCCTGTGTTCTTCTCAGCCATACCCATTACTGTCAGGAAAAGTGGGTGCTGTGCTCTAGTCTGCCCTACTGTTTACATAGGAAGGGGTGATTCACTAAGATTATTTCCTCATCAGCTGTTGTGTAAAAGACAAAACTCACAGTAATGAACTTAATGGGCTTAACTCACTAATCCCTGGAAGATGTTCACTTCAAAAGTTAAGCTGTACTCTCTTTTTTCAACTGACCAGGTACAAGGCAGAATCCTGCTTTTGTCATTTCTACTGCACATAATCATTTCAAGTGATTGTAAGCTTTTTGTGGGCAGGGACTGACATAAATGTATCATATATATATATAAAGAATTGTACATTGTCAAGGCTATATAAATACCTGTTATAAATAAATAACAAATAAATAAACCCACTATGTAATGTTTTCTAGTTTAAAAATCAATTCTATTGCATAGGTCTGTTGTGAAATGTGGTGACTAAATCATTTAGTCATTAAAGAGTATCTAAAGTAAAAAACAAATTCTTAGGTATGGTTGCTGAGTTTATTTTTAGGCTATTTTTTTTTTTCCTTTTATTTTTACCTGGTGATCCAGCCAATAAGTCTGTTATTTTTCTACTTCCTTTAACCACTTGCCCTGTTACATGCTCTCCAGAGGATTTACCCCCCTTCCTGACCAGACCATTTTTTTTGCAATACGGTGCTGCGTTACTTTAACTGATAATTGCACGGTCATGCAACACTGCACCCAAATGAAATTGATGTCCTTTGTTTCCCACAAATGGAGCTTCCTTTAGGTGGTATTTGATCACCTCAGCGTTTTTTATTTCTTGCACTATAAACAAAATAATACAGACAATTTTGAAAAAGAAACAATATTTTTGACTTTTTGCTATAAAACATATCCAGCAAAAAAATTTAAAAATCAAATTTCGTCATAAATTTAGGCCAAAATGTATTCTGCTACATATCTTTGTGAAAAAAAATGCCCATACATGTAAATTAATTGGTTTACATGAAGGTTATAGCATCTACAAATGGTATATATACTGGAATTTTTTTTAATACTAGTAATGGCAGCATTCTGACACTATAAAAAGGACTGACACTGTACTAGTGACACTGGGCAGGAAGGAGTTAACTTCTGGGGCAATCAAAGGGTTAACTGAGTGCTGTATGCTGTTTTACTGTGTGCTATGTGTGTGCTTTACTAGGGAGGCATGCTGTTTTGTATTGCTTTGCTATGCAGAGCAAAACAAAGCAGCATGGTGGTGCTGACAGGGGAGAGATCTGTTTTGCTTATTATTATTATTATTATACAGTATTTATATAGCGCCAAAGGGTTTGCTCAGCGCTGTACATTAAAGTGGGGGGACAGTACATGAGACAATACAGTAACAATACAATACATGAGGGGTCGAGGGCCCTGCTTTTTCGAGCTTACAATCTAGGAGGGAGGGGGTAGAGGTACAGGAGGAAGTGGCTGTGGGGGATGGAGTCATGGGAGGAGTGGAGGAGAATGGCTGTTAGGTGAGGGTGGGGTAGGCTTCCCTGAAGAGGTGGGTTTTCAGGGTGCGCCTGAAGGTGAAGAGGGTAGGTGACAGTCTGATGGATTGGGGTAGGGAGTTCCAGAGGATGGGGGAAGTCCTGGAGAAGTCCTGCAGTCGGGCGTGGGAGGAGGAGACCAGGGAGCTAGAGAGTAGGAGGTCTTGTGAGGAGCGAAGGGCACGGGTAGGGTGGTATTTGGGTATCAGGTCAGTGAGGTAGTTTGGGGCAGCGTTATGAATGGCTTTGTATGTCAGAGTTAGTAATTTGAATTTAATGCGTTGGGCAATCGGGAGCCAGTGATGGGATTGGCAGAGGAGGGTGACCGAAGTGGAGCAGATGGTGAGCTGGATGAGTCTAGCCGCTGAGTTCAGGATAGACTAAAGCGGGGATAGCGTTTGTCGGGGTAGGCCGTTGAGAAGGGAGTTGCAGTAGTCTAGGCGTGAGATAATAAGGGAGTGTACGAGTTTGTTTAGTGGTGTCTGGGGTGAGGAACATACGTATCTTGGAGATGTTGCGGAGGTGGAGCCTGCATGAATTTGATAGTGATTGGACATGAGGTTGGAAGGAAAGGTTTGACTCCAGGGTGACACCTAGGACTTTGGCTTGTGGGGTGGGATTGATGGTGGCGTTGTTAGTCGTGATGGATAGGATGGGGGGGGGGCGCGGGCTTGGGGGAAAACTAGGAGCTCAGTTTTGGACAGGTTTAACTTGAGGAAATGGAGGGATATCCAGTCTGATATGTCGTTTAGGAGGTGGGAGATGCAGGCGGAGAGTGAGGGGGTGGGGGGTGGGCTGTGGAGAGGTAAATTTGTGTGCCATCGGCATAGAGGTGATAGTTGAAGCCGTGGGAGTGTATCAGTTTGCCAAGGGAGGAGGTGTAGATGTAGAAGAGAAGGGGTCCGAGGACAGAGCCATGGGGGACCAAAACAGAGAGGGGGAGAGAGAAGGAGGTGGCAGCGTTATAGGTAACACTGATGGAGCGCTGGGATAGGTAAGAGGAGAACCAGGAGAGAGCAGAGTCCCTGATGCCAAGGGAGTGTAGTTTAGTAAGGTGGAGGGGGTGGTCGACTGTGTCGAAGGTCGCGGAGAGGTCGAGGAGTAGGAGGACTGAGTAGTGGCCATTAGCTTTGGCGGTTAGCAGGTCGTTAGTGATTTTAAGTAGGGCAGTTTCGGTGGAGTGTAGGGGACGGAAGCCAGACTGTAGTGGATCAAGGAGGTTGTTGTCAGTGAGGTGAGCGCTTAGGCGATTGTAGACTAAGCACTCAAGGAGCTTGGAAGTGAGTGGCAGCAGGGAGATGGGTCTAAGCTTGTTCAGATCAGTGGGATCCAGGGAGGGTTTTTTTGAGTATGGGGGTGATGTGTGTGTGCTTTGGGGGGAGGGGAATGCGCCAGTAGAGAGGGAGAGATTGAAGATGTGGGTGAGGGAGCGAATGATGGAGGAGGGGGGCAAACCGGAGGAGTTGTGAGGGGATAGGGTCCAGGGGGCAAGTGGTGAGAGGCGGGCTTCAGTGAAGACCTTAGTGACCTCCTCAGTGGTAGCAGGGCTGAAGGAACGGAGTGTTGGGGAGGTTTATAGCGTGCGGGACGTTAGGTGTGGTGGGGGGCAGTGCGGTTGAGAGGTCAGAGGAGGGGAGAGTTGAGGGGGTGATGAGGGAGGAAGGCTAGGTGGAGAGGTAGATTGTGAATTGACAATGTCCTTTCGGATTGCGTCAATCTTATTTTGGAAATGATTGGCAATCTCGTGGGCGGTGAGTGGGTACTGAGTGGATGTGGGGGGGGGAGAGAGCAGGGAGTTGAAAGTGGAGAAGAGCCGGTGAGGACAGGTGGAGAGGGTGTTAATGAGGGTTACAAAGTATGCTTGCTTGGCGGCATGGAGGGAGGAGGTGTAGGTGAGGAAGGCGGATTTGAGGGAGGGAGAAACACACAAGGGGATTTGGTTTTGCGCCATAATCGCTCCAGTGCGCGACTGCGTCGTTTGATACATTATGTATGGTCATTTTGCCAGGGTTGAAGCGGTCGGGGTCTGATGTTACGTGTGGTTAGGGGTGCCAGGGAGTTTAGGGCAGCTGACAGTGAGTCGTTGTACGCAGTAGTGGCCAGGTCAGGGCATGACAGTGGAAGGATACTGTCATACAGATGGTCAGCTGCCGAGTATAGAGGGGCTGGGTTCAGGTTGCGGAGGTTGCGGCTGGTGTTGGTTTGACGCTTTGGGGGGGGGGTTAGAGGAGGGGGAGATGGAGAACGTGAGGAGGTGGTGGTCAGAGAGAGGGAAGGGGGTGTTAGTGAAGTTGTGGAGGGTACAGAGGTGGGAGAAAACGAGGTCCAGGGTGTTCCCATCGGTGTGGGTGGGGGACTGTGTGCACACTGTGTGAGCGCGAAAGAGGAGGTTAGGAGGAGGAGTTGGGAAGTAGTCGGGTTGTTGACGTTGATGGGGATATTGAAGTCCCCAAGGATGATGGTCGGTAGCTCAGAGGAGAGGAAGAAGGGAAGCCAGGC